TCGACGCCGCTGGCCCGGGCCCGCGCAGACACGTCCCGCACGCTGTCCTGGGGCCTCCCGTCCGTCACCACGATGACCACCTGGGACGCGAGGGGCGCGCGTGAGGCCCAGAGGGCCAGAGTGACTTGCCCAGGGTCACGCAGCTCGTCGGGCACAAGTGGGCCTGTCCCTCCGCCGGGGCTCGGCCCCGAGGAAGAGGATCTGGCGAGCCGAAGCGGAGACTGGGTTCCTCTGGCCTGGCTGAGCTGTCCCATCTGACCTCGGGATGTCTCTCCTCCCTCGGGTAGGCAGCTCTGCGATGCCCGGAGGGCAGGGCGATGTCCCTCCCTCAATCTGGGACCTCCGAGGGCAGCCCTCATACTGGGGGCTGTGGGAGTCGTGCGTGCCGATCCCCTCGAGGCCGATCCGGGAGTCCAGTGGCTGCAGCTCAGTGTAAACAGAGATTTGCCCGGGCTACCAGCCCAATGACTCCCCATTGGGCCCAGCACTCTTGCAGTTCTGAGCTCAGGACACCAGAGGGGGGCCGAGGCTAACGGATGGGGCTGCTGCCTCCGTCCAGACCGAGAGTCTCTCCTGCTTGGATGCCCAGGGGACCATCCCAAGGAAGATGGCGCCCTTTCTTTCCGCCACTCCCCAGGTTGCTACCTGCCCCTTCCAGAGAGGGAAAGGATCTGCCTGGTTCCCTCCCATTAGGCTCCTCGGGTCTGTAGTCTGGAAAGAGGGAGAGAGGACATCCTGGTGCTGAGCCCTGGCCTCATCACCCCTGCCGGCGGCTGCCCTGCCCAGCCTGAGTTAGGCAGCCAGCCCCTTTTGCTGCTGCTCTGCCTCTGCCTTGGTCTGCTTCTTGCTCCTGGGTCCCCACCCCTAGCCCCAGGGCCTGGGACATCCTGTCCTGGTGACTGGTGGTTAAAACAGGCCTGGGGTGGAAATATAGCTCCACCTTCTCCAACCTCAGTTGGTTCATCTGCAAAAAGGGTTGTGGTGAGCTTGAGTGAGGTGATGTATTATTTTTAGTATCATTTCCCCTCTAGGGGCCCTGAACTGAAAACCTAGCTGTGGCTAACCCCTGCCACACACTACCAGATTCCCCTAAGGCCCACTGCCTCGTTGTGTCCCTATGGACCTCCTGTAACCCAGCTTTGAGGCTTTCCAGCCCCTCTGCTGGAGCCTCCCATAGGCGAACCGAGCTGAACAGCTAATGTCTGATGCCAGCTCCCTCAGCCCTTCGGTATCACCTGCTGAGGGCACTCTCTCCTCTTGTGCCCAGCCCGGGCCACCGGTCTGATCTGGGATGACCCAGGTTACCCCTGGAGATGTGCCATCTATGACTATCACAGCCACTAACTCTACCACCTCTGTCCACTTTTGGGGCCAACACAGCCCGTCCACCAGCATGGCCATTGCTGTAACCACAGCACATGGTGCCAGAACTAGGAGACAGCACCGCAAAATAAGACTGACGGGCTGCCTGACGTGTCATTTCTTGGAGGGATGGTAATGGTTGGGATGACACACTTTTGTCTGGGTGAACACTTCTACTACTCATTAGCTGGGCAAGTTGCTTAAGCTCCTTGTGCCTCTGTTTTTCTCATCTGTAAAATGAGGACACCACTTCCGAGCAGGACTGTGCTCGTTTATTTATTGTGTCCTAGAGAGTGTGGCATGGAGGGGGGATGGGAAAGAGCTCCCCACCCCCAGGCTGGGGTCCCGGGCAGGTAAATCGTGGCTCCTGACGAGGGCTGTGATGGGGACGTACTGGAGCCTGGGGGTGGGGAGGCACGGGGGCAGAGGACTCCTGACTCGGCCTCACAGGCCCTGTGCAGAACCCTGGAAAATGACCGTGTGGTGCGAGGCCTGCACAGTACCCAGCCCTCTGCCTGGAACCCTCAGCCTCCAAGGGTGAGTTAACACAAAACTAGGCTAATGCCTCACTCCAATTCCATGCCCTGTGCTAGGTGCTATGCTGGGAACTTCGTGCATATGAACTCAGTCCTCACAGCAGCACTTTGAGAAAGTGTTGGCATTACGCCCATTTTATAGGGAAGGAAACTGAGGCCCAGTGAGATGAAGTAACTTGCTCAGAGTGGCACAGCTAGCATGGGGGAGCGGGGCTTAAGCCCAGACAGGCTGGGGCAGAGTTCACACCCTCACACATCCTGTAAGCATCCAGCCTGTCTGGTGCCGCCCTCCAGGGGCTCAGAACACCGGGGAGCCAAAATCACCTAAATTAAAATGACTGTGAGCTGCCGGTTGAAAGGCTGGGTAAAGGTGGCTTCAAAGCGCAGCCCGGTCACCTGCAGCAGTTGAGCTCTGTCTAATGATGGCCCTTACTGACCCTCAGTTTTCCCAGCTGTAAAATGGCACCTTGCAGGTGGGCAGAGCTCACAGCACACAGTGGGCACCTCCAAACAGCAACAGCCTCACAGGGTGTGGCACACGTACCTTGCTGATATCGGGGGACCTGGCACGGCCACCGTCGGCATCGCTGAAGGCCTTTGTGATGGCGAACTGGATGGCCAGGCCAGTCATGGTGCCTGTGGACAGCGGCTGGATGCGGCGCACGGCCTGCAGCAGCGCAGCCTTGGAGCCATGGGCCCGCAGCGGGAACTCCTGCTTTACGGTGCTGGCATAGTTGACCACGCCCACGTGTGTGGCATTGGGCCCCACGTCCAGCGACTCAATGACCTGGGACAGGAACACCTTCACCTTCTCAAATTCGATGGGCCGCACGC